GAGGCAAGTATGCAGATAAAACAAAAAACCATTAGGATGTAATGCAGGATTCTCCCTTCAGGGAGAATCCTGGATTACCCAGAGCTGAATGCTTCTGTGTTGAAAATCCCCTCTGTACACTGGGGACTGTGGAAACTCTCGTCTTTATCTTATGTTACAACAGCATAGATGTGTCAAAATTCCCCCTTTTTAGACATTCGAGGAAGCCAAACTATTTTGAAAAAGAGAAGTTTTAAGCCTCCCCTCCCAAAGAAAATGCTGATGATTATTCAAAACATCAAACTTTTCTTTTTTTAAAAAAATGTAACAGAATAAACTTGCAAACGATAAGGAACAGAGTTTGACTTTAAACGCCGAGCTCTCTAAATCTTTAAAACGGTAATTCTTGCTCCCAATTCCGACTCCTAATCCCCCCACCAGTTCCTCTTTAATCATCACCTTGATTGTCCTGCACATAATCAATAGGTCCAGCTGTTAAATTATGGAGAACAGAGAATCCCTGCACAAACAGCAGCGAAGAAGAAGAAGAAAAAAAAGATCTCTTTTATTTAGGATAATCAGAGCACACAAAGAAACCCGAATGAATTCTTTTCACCGGCCCCTTGGAGTATTAAGAGTGTAAAACAATTGCAGGACCAGCACTATCCTGTGCTTCAGTGAGTTGCTTTGCAATAAACCACTGCAATTTAGACACTTGGTCACACAGGGAACTGTTGGCAGGATGTGGGCTAACATGAAAAGGTGGCAATGTGGTCAGGAGTTTCAACTCTACTCCCCACCACCCCCCTCCCCCACCCCTCCGTCTCCTCCCTTCAGCATTTCTCAGGTACCTGCAAATTTCATGGCCTTCTGGATAGGTCTTCCATTAGAGAGGTAAGTGAGCTCTAAAAGCTAGCCTGTTAAATAAAACACAAACTACTTCATCACCTTAAGGAAAACCTTCCCCCCAAACCACATTATAGTAGATGGTAAGAAGCAATGTGCCCAAAGTCATCAGTGAAGAATTTGATGGGGAATACAATGTAATGCAATTGCTAAATGCTTTAATGTGACTTTAATGCTTAACTGGTCCAGCACCCACGGAGAGTGAGGAAAGAAATGTTTAAAGAGACAGATCGTCCTTTATCTGGAGTCTGCTTTACATCCTAAGGACAGCAGACCAATTTACACTGCACCGCACAAATTCTATCAAAGCTGTTGTAATAATAGCAGAACACACAGAAATCTGTAAATGCATTATAATTGTACGTGGATTAGAGGATTATGATCTGGAAATGGCAAAAAACATTCTGCTAAATCGTTATTAGTAGAAAGAATATTTCTGGAGATCCTTAGAATCTCTCTCCCCCCAAAAGTAAAAGTAATTAAACTCAAAACCATCACATTTATTTTTAAAAAATATATTAAAGAAAAATATTATCTCAACAGTCAAAATGATTCCATCACGGGGGAAACCGAATTAAATGTGGACACAGCTTTAAAGAGAATAATGGACTGATAATAGGATTTACAGATACGAGATCATCATTTTCCCCAAACCCTAAAAGTCCTTACAATAATTTAAAAACTTTTGTCATCCGGTTTGTGCAAGTTCCCAATTTACTCCTTTCAATGTTCTACCTTTTGCAAATTGGGACACCTTCCAAAGTTTATCAACATTTGCCAAAGATATAAAGATTTTTTNCTCCACAGGCAGAATCTGCCAGTCAGCTTGCAAAGCTAAGGGACACAAGAATGCTTAATTTGAGAACTGGTTAACAGACGTGTCTAACTTAATTACCATCTTTTCACAAGTCAACAAACAGTTAACGTCCAATTATATCACAGCCAAAAGTTACTTAGAAAAAAAATGAAATCCTGCCACACGATGAATGGACATGTCCCATATCAGTTGCACTCATTTCACTTGGATCTCAAGCAAACTCATATGGGTCTTCAATTGTTTCGCTGGCATTTTCCCCAGCAGGGTGTCTCACAAAGAACACAACAGCAGTGAAAAGAACTTCTTATTGTCCCCTAGTTACAAGTCAAATCATCTATTAAATGTACAGTCCTTTTCTTCGAATCTCTAATAATCTGCTGAACGCACGAGTGCTGGAAATTACTTTAAAGGGAATTCAAGAAAGTAAGTAAAGTTGGCAAATTCCTGTATGCATGGATGAACAGAAGAAAACAGGACCTTGGGGGCTTCGGGGCTAGAAACTGTCCCTGAAGACCTGCTGTGATGTCCTTATGTGATAAGGCTCCACAGTAACACTAAAGGCAAGGCATACGAATCCCTGCATTCCTTAAGAACAATTCCTGGCAATCACGTATTTTGTGAAGGAACAACATGAAAGCTATGGACAATGAATAAGGGTCATCTGCTCTTTATCACAGGGCTAAACCTCATCCTGCATAGCCTCTAACCTTTTAACCCAAAGAATTCTTAATTTGCACATGAATAATCAATTTCTCCTCCATGGGGTGGGCGAGTATCAGCTTCTCGGCTAACTTTGAAATCTGCGTCATTATCTCTCTGTGTTGCTCGGGTCCAAACTCTTGTGGATGGATTAAATCACGTTCCCAAATGCCATATCAGACATTGCCCATCTAAGATAAAGGATAACCTTACTGACCAGAGAGTTCCTTTTAAAAAAAAGTGCACTGAACTTAAAAGAACATTCCTGCAACTCCCTGCTCGTGCTTCTGCTCTGTTTATATCAGAGCCATTTCAATTAGAATCGCCTCAACCAACAACTCTGTCCTGCCCTGCTGCTTTAATCAAATCCGCGCCATTTGCCCCGCAGAGTGAATTTGACAGGACCCACAATTGTATCAAAAAAAAATCAAGGGGTTTGCAACTTTCGTTTCCTGCCCGTGAACAAAGCGCAGCCTCCTCCTATCTCAGAAAAAAATGCAACTGACTAGATGCAGGTCTCCTACTGACGGCAGCTCCGAGATAAAACCCGGTAACGGTCCTTTTCAGACCTCGCAGCTTGGAAATCGCAGTCGTGCAAACTCGTCAGGCAAGTCGGCAGCTCCAGCGATTCAGTAGGTCAACAACGACAACAACTTGCATTTATACAGCGGCCTGCAGCATCCCAGGGGGCTGAAGGTTGCAACAAAGTCAATGTTTCAACCTTAAGCTGAATGCTTGATGGTCCAGCGAAAGGTTTTATTTCCCAAAATTGTGACACTTAATAGGTTGCTGCAACACCACGATCGATAACGAGGAGCTTTTTCCGCCAAAACTGGTGTTGCTTCCGATCCACAGCTCATCCTCTTTATGTGAGCCCAAGGAATAAATTATGTGCTATTCCTCTATAGTGCCCTCACCCCAACATCCACCATGGTGCAGTCTCCAATCCATTTGACGGATGGAACATAGGAACAGGAGTAGGCCATTCAGCCCCTCGAGCCCTCAGTTCTGGTAAGAATGTGGCTGATCTGTAGTTGGTGGTCAGGAACTGGAACCCTTGGTAATTTTTCTCCCACCAAGCACAGGAAACACTATGCCCTACGTAATAGTAACTGGAATAAAGATCAATGAAGACAAGAGGGGTTAAGTCTCAAACGTGGGGTGTTCTTGGCCTGTAATGACTTGGTGCCAAACCATACCATGCAATTTCCCAATGAGAGATTAGGGAACTTGGTAAGCTGGTAGGAGGGAAAATACCAAAACGAAACACTGCTGCCTTCAAGCTCTTAACTGATTTTCATCCACTGCATTATCACGTTACATTAACACGCAAATGCAATAACTCAACTACATCAGTAGCAGAAGAAATTACTGAAGTGCCACGGAGCTAAGAAAGCGCCAGGCTAGAGTTTGAAGAGTTTCGAATTTCAAAGGGATGATCGCTATCAAACAAGTAAACGTGTGCCGCAAATAATCTTGTGCTTCTAGAGAATTTCTAGTGCTAAAATAAGGCCGCTTACTCTGCTTTGGAAATCGGATTAACATTTTCCCCCCCCATTGCTTTCTCTGCATCCGAATGATTTTTATCAGAGCAATTCCACCCTTATATAGAGTTTGCAGTTTCTCAGAAGTACCGCACAAGTATCACAGTGTGTAATACTGGCGCATGATAACTCCACCACTGGAACGTAATCTGCTCACAATGGATCAAAGTCGTAGACCAAAGCCCTGCACAATGATTATGTGGCCACGGGTACAAATTACCAGTTTGGAAGTTATTTCCTGGAAATGAAGCTGCACGTCTTTCAGCAGTCTGATACAGCAAGCCCAGCACTCCACTTCTGCAAACAAGCAGTCAATATATGGGAAGGCTAGAGAGACTGCTTTGCAAGATGAACAGGTAGGTTTTGAAACCAATCCACATCAAGAGGATGGAGCATGTAAAACAGAGCTGGATTATTGGTTGGACACCTTTAAGTAATCCGAACACTTGTAGCACAGTTGAAGGAAACCATCGCCAAATGGGCATCCTGGACATTGGGTGTCAAGGGGCTTGTTTGACCACAAGGTCGAGTCCAATCCTGTTGTAACTCAATGTCTATCCAATCGCATTTTCCAATAGGAGGCACTGCATTAAACTCCTGATAACTCGTCACTCCAAGGGAAGAGGGCTCAGTGACGAGATATCCGAGAGGTGAGTTAGGCATATGTATTAATACATAAATAAATGTGGTTGGAATAGATATTGACAGCACGATGTCTTAAGTGGTAGTGATAAGTTAAGCCAGGGATGAGTTATCAGGAGTTTACTGCAGTTGGAGATCAGGATCAGGCTGATATTCTCCCCTTAAGATCAAGGGGGCCAAAGGCAGCTTTAATAGCCAACTGCTGCTTTGGCTGAGATCAGTTTCCTCATCACTGACTGCTGATCCAAGCTTGCGATATCTGCCTATACCCGGGTGAAGGGATGGGGAATAGGGGCGAGCGCAAATTAACAGTATGGTTAGCGAACACCAAACATCTTAGATCTTGTGTGATAACATCTACAATGTAGGTTTGATTTAATATGTTAATCCTTTTAAACCAAAGTTGTACTTACTGGCAACAGAAAGATGGGATTTCTGGCTGAGAATGGCTCCATAACTGTTCTCTGCCAAACATTCATAGTGGCCTTCGTCCGATCGCTCTCCTCTCCGATGTTCAACCTCAGTGATATAGAGAGACCCATTTGATAACTTGTATATCCGCTCACTGTCCACTAATCTCACTCCATTTTTCATCCATACAATGGTGATGGGAAGCTCTCCATTAGCCTGGCAATCAAGAACCACAGGATCTTTCCGGACAGCAATGACATCCTGGGGTTCACGTGCGAAAAACAGTTCAGTAAAGCACCAAACTCCTGGAAACACAATGCAATGCAAATTATAGATGTACCCAATGCGTATTGAGCATTTAAAAAAACTACAACACAATGTTGACCTTTAAACCTATCTTTCCATGCCTGGTTCAAAACAATTCAAATCAACAAAGTCCTCTAATTAATGCTGGGGACATGAAGCAGTCATTTAACCAATGGAACATATTTGAGGACTTGTGCATAAACTATGTACGATTAATAGGGACAAACATTTAAGGGAAAAAATGCTTGAATTTTAATGCAATCAAGTCAACACATTGAGATTTCTAAATTGGTTCATTCATCATAAAATCAAAGCTCATATAAAGAAAGATCGCTTCACCTCCTCCCACCATCTGTAATCAAGAGCCATCCGAGCTTCTTATGGTCTGTTCACATTGTTTACAATTATTATCACAGAGTGATCAATAAGCCACTCCAAGATGAATTTAATGCATGTGGATTTTAATAAATCAATATCAGTATATCTTTTATCCAGCCTTGGGGCATCCTCCCGACGTGAAAGGCACTATACAAATGTAATCTTGTCGTTGTTTCCTTATCCATAAACTTGTGTCAACGCTCTTTTAAAAACTTGGGACAAGATTTGGATCAAAACCTTTGTAAAACTTTTCCGCTTCACAAGAAAGTCCACGATTCAGAACGGTGCTATTGATAAGCCGCCCACAACCCCCCCAGCCCTACTTTGCTTGACAAACATAATCCAAAAAAATTATGTGTTGCAAAATTATATTAAGATAGTTTTGAGATACTTTTCTTTAACATTATAGGATATAGTACATAGGTAGTTCAGGATACGTGTGCATGTGACCGCCAGGAAGGTGGAAGGCGAACTGGATAGACCTTGGTCTTTTTTTTGTCTAGCATTTCTTATATTCTTATATACTTATATATTTGATTAAAACAACCTTTATCTTCACTCTAGCTCTCGTCCCACTTTGGCTAGACACAATGGTCTTGTGTGTAAAAATGTAAAACTTGCAATCAGACAAGGCTGCTACATCTAATCCAGCTCATTTCAACTGGCATCAATCGTCTTTTAGGTCCTGTGGATAAGAATTCTATGACCATCTCGACCTCTTCCCATCCCCCTTGAGCCAAGCACATGTCCTCCCATTCCTGAGCCAAGTCCCGAACTTAACCGGCCACAATGGCAGTTTCAAAAGGTTCCTTGCAAATCACTCCCTCGAATCCTCAAACCTGAGAAAGAAGCTACACAAACACACATCACAATCTGCACACACACGTGGAGTGGCAAACTGTATTTTGTACAAACTCTTTCTCCCCCAAAATCTTGATAACCGTCATTAATTAGAGATACCATGGGGTCCACGTGTCTCAGGAAAAAATGATCCTTTCCACCCCCCAATCTTTTGAAGAATGATGAATAATCCAAAAGATATTGTTGCACCACAACATGTGGTACCTTTCGAAACAGTGTTTGGCTCCAGCATCTTTTCATTGTATCACCAGAAATGCATCTTGTAAAAGACACGGAAAATAGATGTTCCAGAGAGAGAGACAAAACCCAGAACTACAATACCATTTGTTTGTTGCGATTATTTTTTTTAAAAAAACTTTTTTATAAAACAAAAATCTGACAAAAATTCAACCGCATTAATAATTTGGGAAGGAAGTAAAAACAATCAGATAAGAGGCTAAAATAAGGGCTTATGTATTTATTCCCAAAGGAATCCAAACTACTCAAAAATAAGGAGGGCGATCGAAACAGGAGGGGGCCGAAAGTTACTCAAGAACCATCTGCAAAAAAAAACTTTGCAACAGTTCCAAATGAGCCCCCACCAAAACCTACCCTCACTTAATCCGAGATCAGCAATTAATTCCAACAAACCCAGTCACATCTACTTACACCTAAAGTTTACGTGTTGAAACAGGAGGGGGTGGGGGTGGGTTAGGGAGGGAGGGAGGATTACAGATGGTAAAGGTTTTTTTTTATTGAGCTTTTATATGGAACAGAAAACTCAATTAAAATCCGAATGACAAGTGGGGGAAGAGAGAGAGAGAGAGAGAGAGCTCTTGCAAAAAAGGCTGTTATTATTTTGATTCTAAACACAGGCTGGGGTGGGTGGGTGGACATTACACTATAATCTTAAATTGCAAGCAAAGCTAAGTCGCTCGGCCATATATATATATATATATATATATACACACGCACACACACACGCAAGCCCAAGTGAAGTCTCTTTGGCGCAAGATGTTAGCTAATTTTACAAGCTTGTCAAAAAGGAGCCTGAACAGGCGAAGTCGTAAAAGTCTGATTTTACGAGAAATCATTAGCACACACTGCCCGTGTGTATCAATAAGCTCTCGCCGCCTTTCCTTTCTTTTTTCGTCAATCAATAAAAATAATACTAAAAGTTTTTTTTCTCTCCTCCACTATAAGAAAACTTTTTTTTCACTTCCCCCCCCCCCCCCACACACACACACACTCTCTCGGGGAAGGGGAACCACATGTAAACTCCTGCTCAAGAGAATCAGGGTTTTCTTCCCAAAGACATCTCTCTCGCTCTCTCTCTTTCTCTCTCCCTATCTCTCTATCTATCTCCTTTCTGGACAAAGAGCAGTCGTCGTTAAACCATCCACCAACTAATAATTCGACTTGAAAAGCATTTTATTTAATAAAATCCACACACACACACACACACACCACCCCCATTGCCCTGGTGTCACAACCATCCTCACGCTGGTGAACTGGTTGAAAACCAAAAGCACGAGAGGAAGATCAAGTCAATAAGTTGGGAGTTATATTTTCTTTTGGTGAAACTTTTGGAGAAAAAACACTGCTGTTTTTTAACGGTAGATCTGGGAACTTGGGAGTCTTTTTCTTTTTCTTTCCCAGTTTATAGTTTATAACCCATTTTAATTTGTCAGTGTATTTATTTGTCAGTGGGGATGATAACAGCAACGAGCCATCGCCTCGGGCTCCCCTCCCCACCCACCGAATTCCCTGCATTTGATGGGAGACGAGACTGATCAATTCTCTCTATCAATACAAATCTGACCTCCTGTCCCCCCCCCACCCCCCCCCCATCCTCCCCATCTCTCTCCCTCCTCCTCCCCCCTCCTGTCCCCCCCATCTCTCTCTCTCCCTCCTGTTCCCCCCTCCCCCTCCCCAGCTCTCTCCCTCCCCTACTGTCCCCCCTCCCCACCTCTCTCTCCCCTCCTGTCCCCCCCTCCCCACCTCTCTCTCCCCTCCTGTCCCCCCCTCCCCACCCTCCCCATCTCTCCCCCTCCCCTCCTGTCCCCCCCTCCCCACCTCTCTCTCCCCTCCTGTCCCCCCCTCCCCACCCTCCCCATCTCTCCCCTCCCCTCCTGTCCCCCCTCCCCACCTCTCTCTCCCCTCCTGTCCCCCCCTCCCCACCCTCCCCATCTCTCCCCCTCCCCTCCTGTCCCCCCCTCCCCACCTCTCTCTCCCCTCCTGCCCCCCTCCCCATCTCTCTCTCCCCTCCTGCCCCCCTCCCCATCTCTCTCCCCCCTCCTGTTCCCCCCTCCTGTCCCCCCCTCCCCACCTCTCTCTCCCCTCCTGTCCCCCCCTCCCCACCTCTCTCTCCCCTCCTGTCCCCCCCTCCCCATCTCTCTCTCCCCTCCTGCCCCCCCTCCCCATCTCTCTCCCCCCTCCTGTTCCCCCCTCCCCATCTCCCCTCCTGCCCCCCTCCCCATCTCTCTCTGCCCCCCTCCCCATCTCTCTCCCCTCCTGTCCCCCTCTCCCCATCTCTCTCCCCCCTCCCCGTCTCTCTCTCCCCCTCCTGCCCCCCTCCCCATCTCTCTCTCCCCCCTGCCCCCCCTCCCCCATCTCTCTCCCCCTCCCCATCTCTCTCCCCCCTCCCCATCTCTCTCCCCCCTCCTGCCCCCCTCCCCCCATCTCTCTCCCCCCTCCCCATCTCTCTCCCCCTCCTGTCCCCCCCTCCCCATCTCTCTCTCCCCTCCTGCCCCCCTCCCCATCTCTCTCTCCTCCTGCCCCCCTCCATCTCTCTCCACACCCTCTCTCTCTGCACCCCCTTCCCTCTCTCCTTGTACCCCCCCTCCTCCTGCCCCCACCCCTCCCCTATTGCCTCCCTCCCTCCCTCCTCCCAATTTGGAATCATCCCAGTTTCCAGGACGTAAATTAATCTTTCATTATGGACAACATAACCCTCCCTGATGGATAGCGTGGATCCAACTCGTTATATACACACACACACACACACACATATATATATAATACATAAATAAAAATAAATCCAGGATAAGTCTCTATTGTTTTCGAAGGAAAAAAAATATTTTCTCTGGTATTAAAACAGAAAGAACATAACAACTTTGAACCCCAGACATCCCCAAAGGTGTTGTTTCTAATACCACTACACGACTGTTTGCTTTTTTGGGGGAAAAAATAGCAACAGTTTAGCTCAAACCGATCCGAAGGAAAGGTCGGTTCACAGTATCGGAAGCAGAAAATCGACAATGTTTACAAACATTGCACAACCGATACATTTCACATATATATTGTATAACACAGAAAAAAACACACAGACTTCGTCACTAACTGAGGGAGTCAGTGAGAGTGTTAGGGTCCAGTGCGGGGGTTTGTTTTTGGGGGAGAGATGGTGTCAACAAGTTTCATCATTTTGGATGGAAGAGCAAAAAAAAAAGTACTGAATTTGTAAATCAGATACTTTCTATATATATATATACCCACAGATACATAAATATACCTATATATATATATAGAGAGAGAGAGAGAGGGGGATATAAATATATTTTTATATATATTATAACTCCGCACTGGACACTTAACACTTTCACTATTATAATTCAAATATTCTATCAAATATATTTTAAAATAGAAAATATTATATAAAATGTATGTATACAAAGCCCCCTCTATATATAACAATCTTCTATGATAATATATAATCTTCCATCCACTTTTAAGACCCCCCTTCTCTCTCTCTATATATATATACACACACAGAGAGAGAGGGGGGGGGGAGGGGGTTAAAAGAGGATAGAAGATAGAGAGAGAGAGAGACAGAGAGGGGGTGGTGGGGAGAAAGAGAGAGAGGGGTGGTGGGGAGAGAGAGAGAGAGGGGGTGGTGGGGAGAGAGAGACAGAGAGAGAGAGAGGGTTGGTGGGGAGAGAGAGAGAGAGAGGGGGGGGGGGGGTGATGGGGAGAGAGAGAGAGGTGATGGAGAGAGAGAGGGGGGGATGTAATGGCCAGTGATCCCATGCAAAGTCTCGACTTCCAAACAGAAGTGAACAGAGGGAGTGAGTGAGTGAGTGAGTGAAAGAAGAGAGAGGAGAGGAGAGAGAGAGAGAGAGAGAGAAGGGAAGTTGTGGGGAATCCAAACGCAAGGAATAAATAAATAAATACACGTGTGGCTGAGCCGACATCAAGAAGCTTTGCCAAGAGGACGCGCTGTGTAACTTTTACCTCCCCTCTGCCCCAGTTTGCAACCCCCCCCCCCCCCCACCCCCCAAAAAAAAAGAGAGAGAGGAAGGAAGAGGAGAGAGAGAGAGATAACCAAGAGAGCTCTGGAGGTGGAGTGGTCAACACAAAAGCCTCTGTGTGTGTGTGTGTGTGTGGACATTGCCGGCCATTGCAGTGATAAGTAACCTCTGGCTCTGAGAGGCAGATAGAGACCATTTACACCCCCCAACTCCTCACCCCCCAACTCCTCACCCCCCAACTCCTCACCCCCAACTCCTCACCCCCCCCCCCACACCCCCAACTCCTCACCCCCCCCACACCCCCAACTCCTCACCCCCCAACTCCTCACCCCCCCACCTCACCCCCCCCCCACACCCCCAACTCCTCACCCCCCACACCCCCAACTCCTCACCCCCCAACTCCTCACCCCCCACCTCACCCCCCCCCACACCCCCCAACTCCTCACCCCCCCCCACACACACACACACACTTTGCAGCCCATTTCCCCCCAGGAACCCCCCTCTCTCTCTCTCTCTCTCTCACCCCCTCAACTCCCAACTCCAAATGGGGAGCCCTCCCCCAGAGAGAGAGAGAGAGGAGAGAGGAGAGGAGAGAGAGAGAGAGAGAGAGAGGAGAGAGGAGAGAGAGAGAGAAGAGAGAGTGGGGGTTAAACTCCTGGAGGGTCGAGAGAGCAGTGGCCCGACTGTGCTGTACAATGGACCGTCCGGAGCCTGGACACTGCTCTGGTCAGTTGCTCCCGCAAAAGCCTCAACAACAAGGGTGGGGGACACACACACACACACCCCCCCCCACCCCTCCCTCTCCCTCCCCCTCCCCCTCCTTCTCCCGAGAAACCCCCCCCTCGGAAAACCCACCTGAAATAGGAAGCAGCAAAGCCACCAGTCCCAACCCGACCCCACCGCACGCTCCTTCTTTACGAGTCGCCATTTAATCCACAATGTCTTCCTCTCATACCACAGGACCCCCCCCACCTCCAACCCCCCCACCCCCACCCTCTCCCCTCCCCACCGCAGCCGCCACCACCACCACCGCCGCCGCCCCCCAAAACGCTGGGAAACCTCTTCCCCGCAGCAGCTTCTCATGGACTTCCAACTCCAGCGTCTCCGCTCTGTCCTCTCACTCACTCACTGCGGACTCCTTGCGGGCACCGCACGCACATTGCGCTCCTCCCCTCTCCCTCCCTCCCCTCCCTCTCGCCCAAGACACCCAACCACCTCCCTGGCTTCCTCCGCCAACGCACTACTTTCTTCACCCACCCACTTCCACCCCCACCCACCCCCACCCATCCATCCACCCATCCATCCAGAGCAGTCACCTAACTCTCCGGGTGAGGACAGGCGACGCGTTGACCGAGAAACCCAAGGGTCAGCCGTGCCACGTTTGCCATTTTATTTGGCGTTTACGGCAACAAAAATTAATAAAAATTGCGTCCGCGTAGAGCGGCCTTTCCCGTCGGGAGGACGTCGTCCCGTCCCCCGTCCCCCGTCCCCCCACCCCCGGGCATTCGCGAGACCTACAACCGGGTATTTATTACAGCGGCAAATTTGTTATTTCTGGCGACCGCCGCTCAACAGTTGTGTTTGTTCAATTTTATTGGGCGTTTCTCGCCACAACGCATTTGGTGGCGGTTGATTTTATTTGGTATTTGTTTATCACAACAATAATAATATTACTGACAACTTGAATTCGATATGCACCCATTTTATTTGTGTTGCGCGCGCATTTTGTTTGGCATTTTCGTAAAACGGTGGTGGAAAATAAAATAATAAGTTGGTCACACAATCCACGACTGTCTGCGGGACGCTGCCGCGCACAGTTGGCTGCCGCAGTTCGCCCAAAAATAAACAGTCAATTCACTTTACAGTACATTCTGTGAAGCGCTTTGAGACTCCAGAAGACGTGAAAAGCGCTGTATCAAATGCAAGGATTATTATTGTTATTATAACGGTTTGCAAAATAAAAGAGACTTCTATTTTCTGTTATAATTGGAAAACAAGTAAACTCAGAACAGTACAAGAGGTTCAGATTGAAAAGGGCAATTTCAGGACAGACACCAGGATGTATCCTTATCAACAATAACAAACATACATGGATTCACAAACGCACACAGATAGATAAAGTTGCCCACATACCCACGTACATTCACACACTGCCTGCCACGTTTTGCCCACAAAATGTACAATCAATTCACTTTACAGAATGTTCTCTGAAGCGCTTTGAGACGTCTCGAAGACGTGGTAAGGCGCTATATCAAATGCAAGCATTATTATTGATATTATTATTTGCACGCATGCACTTAGGTACACATGGACATGATAAAATCAAGGGGTAATTAGCGTAAAAATGGCAAACTTGTGAAGCAAAAGTTAATACACACCAAAAACAGTTTGGATTTTCTAACCGTACAGCAGACCTGTAGATTACTCCATCACTGGGGTGAGTTCACGTTTGGAATGTGAAATAATCTGTATCATAACTGAGCCATCGAAATGGTTTGGAAAATCTAAGCATTCCATTGACTTCCTCCTTTGGGGACGTCAGCTTCTCGAAATGCACTCAGATCATCTTTATTGTAAACATTGTGCTGGACTCACATACCTGTCACCATCTCTGATACTCCGAACTAGCTGCTGATTATAGTCAAGAATTTCTGGCTTGCATACCAGAAATTCCTGGCGATACCACCCCTTTAATACAGGACAAAATCTCAATTTCTCACCAATTGTGCGCCGAATTAAACGTGGAATTCTTCAGTGGAACGGGAGCACCATAGTTTGTCCAGTTTTCCTATGTCTTTACCCGGCCTTTAGCCAATGATCCCATTTTCCACTGGGAGCTCAAACAGTCAGCGGTTATTCACCACCCAAGTTCTCATGTTGATGGATGATATTTATCAGAGCCAGGTCTGTGGAAATCATTTGCCTTTCAAAAACAAATAGCACGATAAGCAGAAGAAAAAAAACTTTTATTATTGGGCACCATCCAGCAAATTATTCTGCAGGCACTGTTGTCCATCTCGGTCACAGCTGGAATCACATCTCCAGGTCTCCAGTGACCAATCCTCTGTTTTGGTAATGTTGCCATCCTCAGCAGTGCGTATTTACAATAGTAACAAAATAATAATCCTTACATTCGGTACAGCAGCTTTTACTGGGTGGATGTCCCAATGCACTTCACAAGATATACTACAAAGTGGAGTGTGTCTTGTGAGCAAAACTCATGCCAATGAAAAGCTTACCTTCCTTTCTGCTCACGCCACCAAGTGTGTCAAATCAGTACAGCTGGAATCTTGCTCCATTCTATGATGAGAAGTTATTTTTGTGTTGGTTTAAAATAAAAAGCCAGGTTTAGTAATACTGGCTCTATAGTCCTTCTCCAATGGCAAAGCCACTTACTTCCCAGAGTGACGCTGAGCTAATTGCAAGCCAAGAAGATCCCAGATACGAACACTAAGGTGAGCTACACTAATCTTCGGTGCCCATGGGATAGGGAGGGGGGGATATATTGTACAGGATCATACTTCTAATCTCTATCAGTGAATCCTGGTAGAACATACCTGTAAGTGGATGTGAACAGGATTTGACTTGGCAGTGACCCCCGCCAACGAGAAGACAATTTGTTTGGTGAGCTGGATTGGGTTTGGACGCGCTTCCCAGTGAAAGGACCAGTGAAATTCCACCACAAGAAGAAGCAGCACCCTCTACCCCCCTTTAAAGCCAACTTAAGACCTTTCTTTTTGACGTCGCATTTGGTCACCTTTCATCCTCCCCCACTTCCTCAGCTGTCCCCCATCCCCTCCATGATGCGCTAAGATTCATATGCATTCACATATGTTGCGTGAAGCACTTTGAGACGTCTCAACAACCTGATAAGGCACTGCATCAAATGCAAGGATTATTGTTTATTATTATTATTATACTTCCGACGTGAAAAAGGACCTATAAAAAGGTGAAGTTGTTGTAGTCAGCGTTTGGCTGGCAGTTTAGATGTCCATTCTGGGTAAACAGACGAGAAGTGTCTCAGACAACAGTCAGAGTTTAAAAAAAAGTATTTAAAATCAAGTCAGGAGGAAAGGGAAACTAGGGTGGCGGAGCCCTCAACATTCAAAAAAATCCCACCACCAAATGTTTCCACAAGAGAAGTGGGTTAGCAATCACACTGGCTGGTCGATTCACTGTATCAGGCAGCTTTAAAACCTTCCAAGGCAATTAAAAAGTTGAAACATGGGAACTTTGTTCAGCACAATCCCCAGGCCTCTGAATTAACATTTGATAACAAGTGACAATCAAGGAACAACATACAACAGCTGTACTCCAATCCACAACTTTGGCTAAAAGGGAGCCTTTCAAACTCCCAGCTTTCTTAAAAGGAGAGAGAGAGCGAGCGAGTGTGTGTGCGTAAAAAAAATGACTGTAGAAATCCTCTTGAATAAACAAATATGCTTTCCTCCACTTCCCCCCTCGCCACCCCTCAAGAGGCAGGTGGTCAGAAGGGGAAATAAATGTTATTCTATTGCCAATGTGTTTTTTGGCACCGCCCACCACTTGAGAATTGTACACTTATTGTATATGTTCAAGTGGAGGAGACTGTCGCTCAGCAATGAACCACAGATGAGGGAATTCAATAGGGGACAGTCATCCTCTGAGCTGATGCTGTGTCAGATAAGATGAAATCAAAGCATCTTATGTTCAGCCAAATACTGTACATGTTTGTATCTCCTTATATTTTCTGAAGATTTTTTTTCCTGATCATTTCCCTGAAACAAAACCCCTGTAAAAATTGCAATGCTCCATCTGTCATAATGATTGGATGCATCGAGTCGACTTTTGAGGTCAGAACTTTTCAAACAAACTTTTGTGGGGTGGGGGGGGGGGGAGTTTCAAAAAAAAGTTTAATGCAAGTTCCTCAGCCTCATTTCACACCAAATACCACACATTGTGCACCTCACAGTCCAGCCGAATTGCCTCAATTACAATCTGTATGTTATACACAAAAGACCTTCATCTTTAAAACAGTCCAGTGTTTTATGCCTCAAGATCTCTTCCTTCCACCACTTTTTCCTCTGAGATTTCTCCTGCCACCCCACCGAAGCTCCCTCCATCCCCCATCCCAGGTTCCCAGTCAGTTATAAATTGTTGCTGTTCTAGATGTTTTAGAGTAAACCTGCATGGCTTTTTTCCTGCACAGACCCCAAGTAAAAAAAACACATTCAAGCTAAACTGAGGAAGAGACAAAACGTTCAAACAATGATGTATTTGCCAGGTATCCAGGTCGAGTTTGTTTGAAACAGGGAGTTAAAGCTAACAATTCTCGAAGGCACCACTAGTGTCAACTTTATATTACTTGATATGTACATTCCTGAATAAAGACCAGATAAACTGGGATCGAAATGTCTCAACTGTTTAAACATGATGTGATATATATGGCAATGGAATAAATGGACTTTTTGTTGTTGTTGTGTAAGAACCGTCTGTAGTTTCAGAGATTATCAAACTGGAAGATTTGTCTTTGGAGAGTAATGTGATTTTCCTACAAAGCAGCTTTAGGGCTGCTCCCTGCATCCAACACTGTCCCTTATTCTGTGCAGAAAGAGCCCTGTTTTTTTTTCCCACACTGGGACACACACAGAAATCTAACATTTTCAAAGTGAAGAGGCAGTTCACATTTCCACTCTAATTACAGAGAGTAACAAACATGACACTTTCTGTTGAGGGGTTGTGGCTTGAAATGACAATATCCCCCAAACATGGGGGGGGAGGGGGAAGGGTGTGGTGGGGGGGGGGGGGGGGGGGGGGGCGGGTGAGGGGGGAATGTCATACAGCACAAACCCTTTAATAAAAATCATCTTTTTTATTAGCATCTCTCATGTTCATTTCCGCCACACCACATTTCGCAGTCCGGTTCAGCACTAGCTCACTCATTGGCAGAGTAAACTTAACATCGCCCAGTAAAACGTGCGCAAAGTTA